AATAGTATCTGTATTTTTAAAGATGAATTCATAATGCAGAAAAGAGATTGAGCCTCCTCTACCTTCATGAGGAACAAAAAAGTTTGTTTTTTTTATGTTAAAACCTCCCCCTAAGCCCAAAAGTATACATACCAAATTTGAGAACTATACATGAAATAGTTTGACCATATATAGCAAACAGACAAACAAACTTTGGCAAGCATTAACCTTCCTGTCCACAAAAAAATGGAGTATGGTTTTTTCCTGTGGCACCACTTTTATTTTAACTACCTTCACTCTTGAACAATGTTTATTTTTTAAAAAGTGAATTGTAATAAAACCCAAACATATAAAAGTGAATTTATACATTTTCTTTGTTCTTGAGAACTGACAACAAAAGTAATAAACACTAATTACTTATTAGATTCTTTATTTATACTATTTATTTGTTATATTATTATTGGCTAATTGCCAGTTGATTCAAACTTTATAAAATGGTAAATAATAAGGATTTCTTTATAGTTTTCATAATTTAATAAATGTTTATAAATTTATGTATAAAAAATTGTTTTCGTATTTATTTCTTTATAAATTGATAAAGGATAATTATTGCATTGCATTAGTTTTAATTGTATTAGTTTTTACAATGTTGTAAATATAAAATTATTCTTGTAAGTAAAAAATAATAAATAAGTAGTGCTTAATATTTTTGTGGTAAAGTCTCAAGAAAAAAAAGTGTATAAATTCACTTTCATCATATGTTTAGGTTTTATTACAATTCTAATCATTACTTTTTAAAACAATAAACATTGCCAAAGCATGAAAGTAGTTAAAATAATAGTGGCATCAAGGGAAAAACTGTTTTTTTGACACTCCATTTTTTGTGGGCACAAAGGTTCATGTTTGCCTAAATTTTATGCAATTATATATATATAGATATTTAAAGAGCAACCTGCTTATTTTTCTTATCATAATTCTTTTTCTTTCTTTTCCACTAAAGCTATCCTTTGTATAAGCTTGTCTAAAAGAGAGTAGAGTAAAGATACTCCCAAGTTTTAAACTTACAGGAGTAAAAAGAAGATAAAAATTGGACTCATAGTATTTAAGTTTTATTCAATTGTTTAATGCAAACAAAACGTGGTTTAAAAGAGAGTAAGATTTTTTTATAGTCTTGTATAAATAAATTCATTATAGCCAACTCGGAGGACAATGGCAGTAAAAAGTCACCTTTTTATAACTTGGCAATTGTTTGCTATCCCATAAAATAACCTTTCATGGTTAGATACTGCTTATCATAATGGCTCTGATTATCATAATATTCTTTCAATTTCAACCATAAGTCTGACATTTTGCTTAATCTAAAACAACCTTCTTTGTACCTGTTTATACTCTAATAATAAATCTACTTTATAACATTAAAGAGTAGCATAAAAAAAATCTTTGTGTAAAATTTAATTTTGTCTTTGTATGCACCAGGGATTAACTTTAATCAGGTGTAGGTAAACTATAACCTGCAGATCACAGGCAGCTCACCTGATGACTATACCGCCCGCAAGAGCACAACAACCATTATTTATCTTTGCCTCTCTATGCATCAGTGATTAACTCAAGATTTTTTAAATAAGGAGTGGACAAACTATGCCCTGCAGATCACATGCAGCTCACCTGATGATTCTATAAAAACCACAAGACTATAAAAAAAAATTTATTTTTGACTCTCTATGCATCAATGATTAACTCAAGATGTTTTAAATCAGGGGTAGGAAAACTATACCTCACAGATCCCATGCAACCTACCTGATGATTCTATACCACTTACAAGAGTACAACAACCATTATTTGTCTTTGCCTCTCTATGAATCTGTGATGAACTCAGATGGTTTAAATCAGTGTTGGCAAACTATGTCTTGCAGACTACATGCTGCCCACCTTATGATTTGATATGACCTGCACAAGCACAATAAATATTTTTTTTAAATATTCAGTAATAGATTTTGCTATTTTTTGATTGTATATTGCACAAAATAGTAATATGTTCAAAACAGGAATAAAAAAAACCCACAAAGATTCAAGCATTGTTGCTGAATGAAAAGAATTATGACTCTTGGTATTATTTTTCCCACAAACAATATTTGGCAGGATCATGTGAGTCTGGCTAAAAATAAAGTCACATGACATGGAATTTAAACAAACAATAATTAATAAATGTATTAACAAACCATGCGTTCAAAATGTGTTCTCTTGATGATACTCTTGAGCTTGGGGAAAAATGCCACATAGAGTAAGATCAGGTGAACATTCAGATACATACATACATAATACCTGGCCACTCGTATTCAAGGATACCTGTCTATTAGGGCAGGTAGCCAATCCCTATTGCAGACGCTCACTCAGGCACATTTGTGTTTGTTCAACACCCACAGAGCCAACCTGTGGTTTATACTGCAACTATAATGAGCACACTTTAGTTACAGTTTCTGGGAGAGAGCATGTTATCTAGCATGATAATAATCATGAACAAGGCCATCACGCTCAAGCCCTCAGTCACAATGACTTCTGACTTTGTACTAGCACAGCTATCAATGACCCCCAAGGGTTCCATCTACCTAATTTTACTTACAAGGCATGGGTCAACCCATGGTATGGTTTTCAGGCACTTTCCAAACGTGCTGCATGTGGGGATTGATAACATCAGGAAGTCTACTTCCTGACAAATCAACCGTGGTGAGATTTGAACCCAGGTCTCATGGCCAGAAACATACATACATACATGTATATACGTAGATACATTTATTCCCTCCCGGACTCTTTCTTGTATCTGCCAAGTCTTTCGGACTTGAATTCTTGAAATTTCAACTTTCACTTCTTTCTGTATTATTATATTTTGGTATATAAAGATATATTTTGTATTTTTCAACTCAGGGCCAGTATGCACCTAAATTAATTATACTGAAATAACTCAATCAGAATTGATAACCTCTTTACTAAAATAAAGTACACTATCTTCTGTTGAACTCTGAAGTACTGACATGCCACGTGTTTTATTAGAGAGAGAGAGAGAGGAGAGAGAGAGAGAGAGAAAGAGGAAGTGTATGTTGTTGCTTCCAAAGTCAAAAAGAAACTGAGTCTTTCAAAAATGTCACCACCTGTAATTATTATCAGGGGTAGTAATCCAACACCATATATATTTTAATCACAAACAATAGTTCTCAAGAAACTCACTTCCTGCAAAATCAGGTTATGTACTACCACAGAGGCACCTGGATAACTATGCTGATGTCAATGTTCAATCATACGTATCTAGGTAGCTGCATGTATATAGGATGTTATTTTTGCATTTTTCTATAAACTGCACATGAGATTTATTGAAAATTTATTGTGGAATATTTGAAAATGAGGATTGAGCAGCCCAGACATAGTAGTAATCCTTCATTTTAGTCTAATCTGACTGTTGCAGTACTGCTCCTAGTTGGGCTAAAAGCAATGGCAAACAAAATTCACACAGATCACCATTGTTTGTAGAAGGGAAAGGAAAAGGAAGGCAATATTTTTATGTGTATTTGTATAACAATTGACTGATTAACAAAAGAGAGAAAATACACATGACTCAATTCAATTTTCACTTTCTAAAATTATAGTTTATAATTACAATTTAGATATATGAAAAAAGGTGTCATTCTAAAAATGTTGTATATATAAAAAAGTGTCTATGTGTGAGTTAATGTGTGTGTCTGACACATTTAACCCATATTCTCTTTTTTCCATAGCTTTTGACTATTTTGTTTAAAGTTTGTATTTTCTTCATATTTCAGTGAAATTTTCACTTTCCAAAATTATAGTTTATGATTATAGTTTCGATATATGAAAACAAAAAGGATGTCAGTTTAAACTGACACCAGAAGGATATGGCCTAAAGGAGGCTTCAAGTAAGTGCTCACTTTCTTTATTGAAACTGAAAAGAACTATTCCCCCAATATATGCCCACTCCAAAATACTGATGCATATTTAATCAAGCAACTGTCACAATATTTTGACAAACTTAGAGTGAGTTTTATGCTAAGCTGGCAATAAAATACATCTTCCATTTTAGACCTGTTTGAAAATGCTAATGACATTAGATCAGATGCTGAGCTTGATTTTGGGGTAATATTTTTGTAGACAGTTTAAGTCAATACTGACATGAGAGAGCTACCTTATTTCAAGCTGATTAGCCAATAATAGATCAGACTAAGCCAGATTTTTAATTAAGATATTAAAATCTATAAGTAAGGAATAGATAAATCGTCATCATCTTATTTCTGTTGCATATTGATTTTCTTCCAGTGACCTAAGGTCAGAAATAGCATCATGACATTTTCCACTGAACATTTTTGTAAAAAAAAAACAAAACAAAATAGACAAATTAAGATCACACATTTTACAGATAAAACCCTTCAAAAGGTGTGAGCTGTACTTGTAAGTGCATTTTTTTGTATTTCTTTATGACATACACTATCAGGGATTCCTTCAATGAGTCTGTTGGAACCTTTTATAATTAAACTGAGAGCTCCAACAACAAATGAAATTACTGATGTATTCATGTGCCACATTTTTGAGATTTCCACTTCAAATTCTTTGTATTTTGATAGTTTTATTGAAGATCTTCAAAGATACATTACAGTCTGCTTTTTGAAAATCATGTCAATAAGAAAGCACATTCTGTTTTTGTGGTCACAATGTCAGGGGTGATTAGCTTTGATTTGTTGAGTCTGTTTGTATTGCAAAGACACATAAATTTGTTACAGGTTCTATGTCTGTAACTTGGTCTGGGTGGTGTTCATACCAGTTTCCTTACCATAAAAGTTGCAAATTTTCCAGTGCATATATTGGCCCACTCTGTCTTACCAAGTTTTATATTCAGTGGGTGCTAATACTGTGCAACCTGATGTAAGATGTCAATTGTTTCTGAATATTTATCACAGAATTTGCATTTCAGGCTTGTAATGTTGGCCATTATCCATTACACCACCTACACACTCAAGCTTACAAAACCTGGTATTCCCAAGTGGACACCCATCTAGGTACTGACAAGACTCAATGTTGCTTAACTTTGGTGATTGTACAGGAACTAGTGTTTCAATGCGATTTGGTCATAAGTCTAACCTTGTTGATGTACATAAATATAATTGACAAAATATTGCACCTATGTTTAATGCAAAACCTCCTTTTTAGCTTTTGAAACTGAATTCAACTAAATATTTGTCCCATGACACTATAGGTCTTGAACCTGCGGAGAAGGCTAGCATGCCAAACCTTGTTGAATGCCTTTGAAATATCTAAAGCCACAGCCTGAGCTTCACCATTCTTATCTATAGACTAATTCAGTGATGGCTGTTAATACATCAGCAGCAGACCTGGTGAAATGGAAGCTGTATTTTTTAACTGAAAGAAGGCCATTTGAAGTAAGATGCTTAACCAATTTGGCATTGATTAGTGCCTTGAGTACTTTGTCAAAAAGAGGTAAGAGATTAATAGGGTGATAATTTCAGGGGTCAGAGGATTCTCCAGAGTTCTTAAAAACAGGAAGTACAGAGGATTTCCAACCAGCTGGAAAACAAGAAGGGGCAAAACATTTGTTGTAAAGTTTGAAGAGAACAGGAACTAGTTCAAGAGCACATTTTTTTTAGGACAACTGCAGGGATATAGTCAAATCAGCAAGACTTGTGGAGATTTAATTTAGAAATGGTAGCAGAAATCAAAGATGGAGTTATGCATATATGACTCATTAGAGCTTCCATTCTAGGAGGAAATTCAGGCAAGGATGCTCCTGATGAGACTGGTGTTGGAAGAAAACTTCCGAGCGAAGCACTCTGCTTCATCTGCAGATGTCAATATTTCAAATTGATTGAAGAGAGGAGGAACTGAATATTTGTTTTTGTTCAGAATACTCTCACAGAGCTGCCAGTAATCTCTAGAACCAAAATTGTGAGAGGCAATATGGTGTCTCATTCTATCAGTAAATAGTGACTGCTTCTTTGAGAAAAACACTTGCACTCATTATGAGCATTGGCAATTGAGAGATGTCTGTTACAATCAGACATGTCTCTCTGACATGGCCAGAATAAGCGACTCCTGTTGGCTATAGCAGATGAACAGGCAGGAGAGAATCAAGGAGAAGATTGTGGTTTCACTTGGTATTTTTGTGCTGGCACAAGAGCTTCGATGCGGCTTTCACCCAGGAAGAGAAAGAGTTTGGTTGTAATTTATAAAATCTTTTTCTTAAAACAGTTTTTCAGGAAATTAGACTTCTCGAATTCCCTGTTATTGCTCTTTCTAATATTGATGGGAGTTTCCTTCTTAACCTTTTGTTTTTAGTAGTGTGGATTGTCAACATCTTGATTATATCATTATTTTCCATTCTAGTTATATACTGTTATGGGATTCTACCCATAATAATAATAATGGACCATTCCATACTTAATAAATACTGCACCTCAGGAGTAGGCAAGGAGTCAGTAGTTCAAGTCGAGTCAAGAGTCGAGTCAGAGGCAGTCCAAAACAGAGTCGCGTTCAGACAATTACTGCAAGACATTGGAATAGTGTTACTGGTCGAGGCTACATTATTCTCTCTACTAAACCTGATTGTTCATACTAACACTTCTACTTCTCTGTATATATTCCTGTTTGTAATATATCTGTGTTATTCCATACCTGTGTTTGAATTCTTCTTTATTGGTTCTACCTTGGACTATCACCGTGGTACAAAGAACCGGACCATAACAATAATTCAGTATGTAGAATTAATAAATGCTAACCAATTCAAATACCTCCACGTATGAAACATTTATAACAAATTTAGTATAGTAGAAAATTAAATTGAACATATAATAAGACTGTACTACAGGTAATTTCACCGAAAACCACAAATTGCTAGATAACCAAAACATCAATCTGAAAACTCGAGTTATGTTTTTAAATATATTCGTCAGATCGAGGCTTTCATATGCATGTCATGCAAGGCGCCAAATCCGTTCAGAAATATGTATTGTCAGCTGTATACAAACGCTTTCTGAAATCAACATATACACTATCCATTTTAATTGTTGCTGCTGTTGGAAGACTTCAAGTGATGCGGTTTTTGTTAATTGATAAAGTCCATTATGATACTTAGTGCCAATCTACAGGATTTGATGAAGGATTGTTTTCTTTATGAGCTAGAGGATTCATTTGTTTGTATATATTGGTGTAACACAATCTTCTCTTTTGGCCTTACATTGAGCTCAGTACATATCAAAGTGAGTGGTTGGTTTCAGAGAAATATCTAGCAAGCTAGTAATGAGAGCTGTTACTACTGCATTGAGTTCAATCCTTACAGAGAATCCTATCTTGTGGCTGACTAAGCTCAGGTTAGTAAATACTTCTGCCAAACCCGGATTTTAAGCAGTTACATCATACAAGTACCACTTTCACATAAAAGATTTACATTTATATATAAGTATGAGTTAGCTGTTGAGTATGTAATTATGTTCGTGGAAAAACTGCTTTTCTTAACAAACCTATTTCACCATAATGCAGAGAAAGAAAATATAATAAAGCAATAAAAATATTGTTTACAAAGCATTCTGTTATTGTCAGCTGACTCTATTGGGAAATGGCTTAGTGCTACTACTAATGTCTTTATGAACTGATTGATCAATACAGTCATTTTATTCTCCATGGTGTACTCATCCCTAGCATAGAAATATTAATAATTAACATGCTCAGCACAGAATATAGAATATGTGAATAATAAAAAAAAAATGAATTTGATAATAGTAAAAATAATAAAAAATTATAAAAATTGTATTATCAAATAAAATGGCTGGACAATAAAAGAATATGGTCAGCATTTATTCAAGTGTTTACAGATTGCTCTAAATGAAAAACTTAAATTCTCTGGAAGGCTGCAAAAGATGTCTGTAACAGATTTTTATGACAAAAAGTTTATGATGCATAGAAAAAGAATTTACCAGATCTTGTATGTGGGTGTGTCTGTAAATCAGAGAATCAAAAAAGAAGGAGTGTTCAGAAATTGCTAAAATACACAAGCTTTGACCAGGATATGCGTAATATATTGAATATGAAGGTTAGTACCACAGCCCATAATAGTAGGTAGACTTAGAACCATGTCAAAAAACAAGAAAACTGAAATTGGATCAGTTAGAAATCTGAGGAAGGGTTGAGGTTGTACTGGAGGAAGGGGAATGCAAGACTATAGAGAAAGGCGCTGAAAATTTGAGGCGACACACTGCTAGTCTATCTTCAGTAATGATCACCAGATATAAATGGATAATAATAATAATAATAATAATAATAATATGGTATTTGTAAATAAAATGAAAAGAAAACATATCAGATACTGAGTTTTGCTGTTCAGCCAAACCAGAAACTAACTCAGAAAATGAAAAGAATGGAAAATAGATTGGCCTTGCCAGTGAGTTAAGGAAGTTGTCATAACAATGGCAATTATATAAGTGACAGATTTTCAGTTCTTAACAGAGTTCTGGGAAGCATTATATGAAGTTTTAGATATACATGTGAGGAAAAGAGTGGATTTTTTATTGATTAATCTGACAGATTTTTATTACTCAAAAGTTATTTTTAGTGCACACTCACATTTGAGTAGACACTCTATTTATTAAATAGTATATAAATATATATATATATATATATATACACACACACATACACACACACACACACACAAAAGTAATATCTCTATTTTAGGGGGGTGCGAATCCAAGATTTCATGCTCCCTAAAAGGTGATCTCGCACCCCCTGGGAGTGTGAGCATCCACCGGTTACAAACCACTTCCCTAGGGGAACACAGATTCGAATCCTGCTGGAGAGCGCATATTTTTCTCTAATAAGATTTCTCAAATAATCAGACTGGTAAACAAAAATAAAAAAATATACTGTTTGATAAATAAATGGAGCATCTACTCAAATACAAGTATCCCCTAAAAATAATGTTTTAGTAAAAAAACATATATATATATATATATATATATATATATATATATATATATATATATATATATATATGTATGTATTAGCTCTATTGAGCCCTCTTTTGAATTAAATGTTACAAAGTGTGTAATTATACTTCATTTGTTCTCATCTTACTGGATGGATATATATATATATATATATATATATATATATATAATTGTGTATTTGAGTTTTATTCAAGATGACTGACAAGCTTTTTATTCAATTTTTCTTGAGTATTCATAAATGATATTGGTTCTTTGTAATTTGGATCTTACATGTGAATTGTTGTTGCTGACTATATGATTAGCGGTTTTAAATTTTTTACAGTAGATAATTTAATTTTCTTGTTCTGATTGACTTGGATTGTGTATTTCTTTATAATGCTTCTAAAAAATGTTAATCCTGCTTATAGCTTATAACTATAAGCAGGATGAATTCACATGTCCTTTAAGGAAATGCATTCTTGATCAAACCAAATTCATCAATAATTATATTGGCTATAACACTATCAAGAAGACTCACGTTACATCACTCTGACCAGATCTCAATTAGAACTTGTTTAAACACACATGGAAACCCACCAAGCTCAATCCCCAATTTACTCATAGAAAATACAAATATAATAGCCTAATCCACATGTAAAAAAATAACTATAATGGTAGCACTAATAAATTAAATCTAAATTTGTATCCTCCCCACATATCCATATAAACTATTCCTCTTACTCTGTAATCCTCTACCTCAAGTGACTCCTGGGCCTTGTTCAGAGTGAACATCATTGTAAAAAACCTTCACTTTTTGCCTTTTCATACACCACCACACAGTAACCCTCTACCTTGAGTGCTTCTTGGGCTTGGTATTTGGTGAAAAAAAGCAACTACTGGCATAAAAACTCAGTGTGAACAAATAATAAAAAGTGCTGAAGAGTAGTGAGGAAATTTCCTGTCACTTGATCTCCTTTGAAAGTCACCAGTAACAGTTAGCACAAAAACACAATGTGAACAAATAGTAAAGAATACTTAATCTCCCCTGAAAGCCACTGGCATGAAAATTCAATGAACACAAATAAAAAGTTTATCTCTTAACTGTTGTTGTTCTTAGGTCCACTCTGGCTCAGACT